ACGGATGCGATCGACTCCTTCCCTAATTAAGTAATATCCCACCCGAACGGCCAGGGTCCATTCGGGTCCCACAACGTTAACACAGTTGCTACTAAGTTTCAATGATCCAAAATTTTACTACACAGTAAAAGGGACAACTGTCTGTTCTCGGTACGATTACACTAAATCAGATAAGATCTTCGATGACAAAAGAGTAAGTACAGAAGTATGTACATTTTTTAGAAAATTTTATTTACAAATAAAGGGCTTGTACTAATTCTAAGTTTCACACAGCATCTCGAATTTAGTAATCGGCCAATCAAATTGCAAAAAAAAAGTTGTGGAATTCATGGGGATTTAAATCTACTCTCTTTTCATAGAAAGTTAAGCTTTTAAACGTAGTAGTGTAAAACATATAAAAAATTTATTTATCAATCGTGTAACTATATCGGAATAATCTACGAATTTGAACGGTTTCTCCTGTTGCCTCGGACCTCTCGGGCAATTAATGCAGATAATTGAGTAATGACGGGCATGTCGAAAACTATCGTTATTGTTATCGTTATGCACTGTCATTTTGCAGGCATTAACTTCTTAATACTTTATAAAAAAAAATCTTATTTTTTATCAAAAATTTTTATTTGTACTGATATATATATAATATAGTTAAACATTTCTCAATGCACATAGTAAAATAATTAAAAATGTGCAATTAGAGATGGTGGCATTAGAACGGTCAAATTCTATAATTGTTATATTACTTGGGACCATTCAAAGGTGTGCATTTAGGGAAGATGCATTTAGGGAGGTCTGACTGTATATATAGCTTAAAACTTTATTAATAAACATCCTTTGGGGCTCTAACAAATAAAAAATAAGTTACCGTGAAATTTTAATATAAATTTATTTAAGTTTTAAAAACTAACCTTGATTCAGCTTTAAGTAAATTAATTTAGTTCTGTTTAATTTGTATTACACTGATTTACAAATACTAGAAACTGAAAACTAGCATAAGTCTGAAGCATAAGTGCATTTTATAATAACTGTTTTTTTTAATTCATTTGTAATAAGTACTCCATAGCAAAATTCAAAATTTTATTAAGTAAATCAATTATATGCTACTAAGAAAGTTGTTCAGGATATCAAAATACATGTACCGTATCCTAAAATTTTGATGCAATTACGATAACTATACATTTTTTGATATTTACTTTTTACAGTCACTAAATATAAATTTATAAAAAAATTTTAATTGATTTTTTTAAAAAACATTTTAGTAAAAAATCAAATTGTCCTATTTGTATATACTGTAAATTTCAGGATATATGTATTTTGATCTCCTGAACAACATTACTTTATAGCATATAATCGATTTGCTTAGTAAACGTTTGACTTTACTATATAAAATCATGGCGTGACATCCGAAAAATGACAAAACTACTTTTTTGATATGTTTAATATACAGTAAATGAATCAAAACCGAATTTTTGGTTATCAAAGGGCGTAGAAGTATAAGTCCGTCGCTTCACTCCAGACACCTAGCATGCACATACAATAATGTATGTTTAGAATCTTTTTTTTTATTTTACTTGCATTTATTACACCCAAATGTTATCTATTGCATATAAAATTTATCATTCAAAATAGGGTTTATTATTCGTCATGGATTTGTTATTTTTCATTTTGTCAACTTTAAGTTGCTTAATGAAATGGTTATATATTTCATTCGATATTTTATAATTATTATATTGAAATTAAATTTTTCTACTAAAATCTTTATTATTATATTTTAAATCAAAAGTCTTTATTACAATATGTATTACATTTTAAATTAAAATTAATTATTAAAAATCAAACCATCATGATTTAAATTAATAATGTTTAAACCAAGATCTTTTGTAATAAAACTTGAATAAATCAGAATGATTTGAAGCGGGAAATGGAGTATGACTTTCAAACACGTCCCTCAGCTCTCGTGAATTATTTTTTTGTGATAAAACATATTTATTACGATAAATGGATCGCTATAAACATAACCTTCTGGATATTCATCATTACCGCCTAATAATTGTAATATATATTTAATACATGAAAAAGATATAATCAATACAGGAAAATGATAACAATAATTAATTGATAATTTAACTTACATGTTATATTTCTACCAGCTAGAAAATTTCCACCTCTAGTACGAGGACGAGCAATATAAGTAATGTCAGCAAACGCACCTTTTCCAGTGTTATTCTATTTATTACAATAGCTTGAATGTTAATCAAAATAATAAAAATTTTGAATTAAATTAACTTAATAGAACCATAAACTATGATATTTACAGAAACCCTCTCAAGTCCTAAAGCAATATCTTCTGGACGACCAGGTTTCGGAATGGAAACAATTGGAGTTGTAATTAACGTTGAGGTATCACTCGGAAGAACTGATCTAATGCCAAGCGAAACGACACCAGGTAGTGCATCTAATGAAGATGATAAAATTTTTCGTTAGTGTGATACATATATACTGATTTTATTGATTTTAATTAATCAATTATTTAATTTGTAATTCCTTGCAAAATTATAGTTATTCACCATCAGTGACATAAATGATTAAACTGTATTGTTACATACTTGGATTTGGAAATGTTGATGCCACCACTGAAGAAGGGTATGAACAAATATCCTTTTCATTATTAAAATGTAATGCGCGACTTTCATCTAATAATATTAAAAAATCTCATAAGCACTAAAATAAAGCGATAAAAGACCTATATACTGTATTGTTCATACATACAATATACCCATGTTTTATTAACACATCGACGTTCGCCAAATCCACTAACGATTGTATAAAATTTAAAAACATTGCCTTCTGGTGGAGTGATATTTTGCGGAAGAACCACACCTTTCGGAAATTCTGTGCATAATTTTAAGATTATTTGTGTGTGATTTAATTAATATATATAGTATTATTTTAGATAAAACTTACCACAATTTCCAATTACTTTGGGAAAATTAAATAAGGCATCTCCATCAAATAGAGAATTATTAGCAAATGAACTACTTGCATTGAACAAAAGAATCGTTAAGATCAAGAGAAATTCTAGTTTAATCATTTTAAATAATCTCTATGATTGATATATATATTTGATTGAATTGTGAATTAATGTCGAGGAATCTTGAGCTTTTTTATAGATTTTATTTTTTCTTGAATTACAAAAAATTTTCAGATTTTGAGAAAATTTAATGCTGTACTTTATTATGTCAAACTAAACATAGGGAGAATTCATAAGGAGAATTCAGCAAACAAAACACAACGAAAATTCAGAATAAAATGTCGTACTCATTGTAAATTATGCGTGCCCAAAATGCAGCTTCAAGCAGATGAAATTATAATAAACAATACAGCATGATTGTTTACAAAGTATATTTTTTTAATCTTATTTCCGTTTCCAAAGTAAGTGGGAAATTTATGATATGTCTCAATTTTCTAAGACAGTTATAACAGATCTTTAACTCGTGATCAGCAACATTTCTTTTCTGATTGTTATAACAGATCCTTAACTCGTGATCAGCAACATTTCTTTTCTGATTAGGATAAGAATTTATAAATTATTTAAACATATGCATTAAATGTTACCATTAAAATTCGTGTCCTAAATTGACATTGATATTTTAATAGGAATTCTTTGCTTTCTGATATGATTAATTACTTAGTTTAGGGATTAAAGTCATGTGCTGTTATGATTTTAATTAAAAGTAGGTACGGTTTAGTTGGGGTTAAGATGCGGCTAAATTTAAAGTAAAATTGCTTCTCTGGCATTTTTTGTTAATGCCCAAGGCGAGTATAGAAGCTAGTTTCTTGTATTTTTTAAGTTTGCTTTTGTTCCAAAAAATTATTCCTATGTCACATAACAATACATGTATGTTTAGACGACCCCTTAACGTTAATTTATTCATATACATATTACCCCTTATTACCCCTAGTCACTTTTGTACGTCACTTGGTAAAATTTAATATTTGTATAAATTTGGCGTCAAAAGGGGTAAAGGGGAAGATGGTAACTCATACCAATCCACGAATTAGTCATACCATATTGTGTTGAATTAAGTACCTCTCCATTTTTAGTGTTTATATCAATTTATTAAATTTCCATTTTTAGTTTATTATAATCAGTTTATTAAATTTCCATTTTTAATGTTTTATAATAGCTTATTAAATTTCCTTTATTGTTTTATAAATAATTTATTAAATTTCCATTTTTATTGTGTTCCTGCAGTGTTTATTTTCAAATCAAATTGGTTATTTCATAATTTAATTGAATCCGCACATGTGCGTGTAAATAATCTTTTTAACAAATTTAGAACAAAACAGTTAATGAATATTGAGTAACCACGTTTGAAATTTAAGCTTAATTGCTACTTCTGTTTTGACCCATGGTTTGAAAACTCTGATTATATATGTTCTGAGTCATTACATGATTTATGGTCATTCAAGGAACGGAGTAATTAAATCACGAAGTATATATCAGGAATGTAGTACCAGGAACGTAGTGTATTGTTTAACTCGAGTTTTGTGTTTATCCACAAAATCTTGAATCTGATTAGATGCAGTAATCGGATGATTTTCATGAAACAAGATACACAAGATCAACATTCTGTTAACTTATTAAATAGATACCACTGTGGCGTCAAATATGCTAATACGTAATTGTGAATCACTGGTCATTCGTTTAAGACCTACTCCGTCACACAAAAAACACAGACATTTATATTGTTATAGGTAAACCCGTTGCGCAACGATCGTCGAAAACGTGCGAAAAACATGACCGGAAGTGTGGCCTAGAACCAGCGATCGTGTAACCAGATTTCTCCCCATTGTATGCAAGAGAAGCCCCGAAATTCGGAACAAGTCACCCAAGATTGTAAGCCTGGGCCCACATGCGACAACCTAAAAAGGAAGAAAGACTTAGTAGAATCACCACGACGCGTAACAAGGAAAAGGTGTGATAACTTACTTTCACGGGCTTACAACAGAGCCTTAAATCCGCAAAGACGTTTTGGGTTATGCGGCTGTAGCTCTATCAGCGGGACCTACGAAATAGAGAAGTTAATAAAAAGAAGGAAGCATGAGTCAAAGGGTGAAATTATACAATTAACAGATAAAGGAAACATTAATATAGAAAAAGGGAGAACGTTCCCAAGATAATTCGTCATAAAAGTCCACCTTTCTGATCTTAAGTTAAAAAAAAGAGAGGACCCATTGCCCCACTTACTCCTGTGATTTAAAGAAAATCGTAATAAATAATTATAAATAAAACAGTTTATAAATTATAAAAAGTGCCAAGAGACATATACATTCTTTAAAAAATCCTATCATTACCTGGTAACTTGCTTGAAAGCTGCCTTAGCCATTGCCAAATCGTAACTGCCTCATCTTGCTTTCGAGTAATGTTATGTGACATCAATGATTTTGAAGTGACAATTTGTCACATTTGTTTCATCCTTAAACTCACCCTATTTCCTCATGACAATATCAAATAATATGAAAATTCGGATTTTTCATATAGTTCATAAGACATGTGATTTATCATTTAGATGAAAAAAGGTTATCACAGTATTGTGATGCCCTTATTGACTCTGATTCATATTTGTACAATAATCAACATAATACTGTTTTTTTCAGAATGGCTCATACTAGCAAATTTTGATAATTTCCAAAGGTCTTGTGCTTAAATGCTAACATGAATAATATTGTTAAAATATTTGATAGAGCAAAAATTAGGTGCACTAATAGATCTTGTTTATGTTCCTAATTTTAGCATGACTTGACAGAGTTGCACAACTATCTTATGGTCTATATTATGAGTTAAGTGGGTCCCGTATAGTGTTGTTAGGCAAAACTTAGAGGTTTTGCCAAAAAAAATTTAAAATGACAAAATGGCAAATTGGCAAAACTGACAAAACTAGTGATGTGAAATTTTCAATTTTTTTATATTTCATGCGCATGAAATGCACGTGGGAATTTTTCGGAATCTTTAAGGAGTTTTCGGAATATTCCGAAACCTATTAAAAATTCCGACTCATATGAGTGCTGCCAAGGGAAATATCCTTCTGTAAATTGTGGTATATTATCGATTATTTATATGATTCAGCCCTTCTGATCAATGTCGCATCGGGCTTTCAAAATTTGTGCTGTATTGT